ACCAATACCACCAACACCACTACCACCACCACCAACAACAACACCATTGCCACCAACAACAACACCAACACCACCATCACCATCACCACCAACACCACCACCAACACCATCACCACCAACACCAATACCACCAATACCACCACCGCTATCACCACCGCCGCCATCACCACCACCACTATCACTACCAATACCACCACCACCACCGTCACCACTGCTAAACCACGGATAACATTGATTGGCTGTTATTATTGTCAGGCAATGCACTAAGTTTTCTATACATAATATGTCATTTAATCATTATAGCTCTACAAGGGAGAGAATAATTTTTTACAGATGAGAACACTGAGACCCACAGAGCGTAAAGAGCATAAATGACTTGCCCAAAGTCACACAAATAGTAACTAATGAAACTGGAATGTGCCCAGGCGGTCTGGCCCTGGGGCCTATTCCCTTCACACCCTATACTAGAGACATGACTTGCTAGTTGGGAAAGGTCCTGTCTTCCTGGATTAGTTGTCTACGACAAGGAAGGGACTCACAAAACCCACTCATTTTTGCTGATCTAAATGGAATGTATGACACAGTCAAGAAAAACTAAAAATGGCTGTCTGGAGTCTTTAGACACCTCCACAAACTAAAGGATTTGGGGGAACAGGTGGTGGCATCATCCTTTCTGCCAGCTGAAGGCTGTAATTTTGGAAAAGAGGGGAACAGATGAGGAGTGGACAGCTGGCTGTGCAGCAACCAACTCAGGGCAGGGTGTAGTTTTCCTGACCCTGCTTATTATACGAGACTCATGGGCTCCTGGGTGGATGCCTGAGGCTCCATCAGCGGTCAAGGGTGAAAGGAGGAAGAAGAGAGAGAAAAAGCTCCCGATCAACCTGAGGCCAGTACAATAAAGGACCAGCAGGATCACACAGAAAGAAAATCCACATGGAGAAGGCATCTCAGAATCGCCAGGCGGAGTCAACAGGCCTTCCCTGCAAGAGGAATGTTCTTCTGGCCTCAGATCAGAGACTGGATAGTGCCCGGAACATGGGCTAGAAACACAAGAACGTGAAACAAGAATGACAGTGACCATTTATTGAGCACACGTGTTGTGTCCTCCCAGGCCTGATTATGGTGCATCCCCACACTAGTGTTGTAAGGAAGATATTCAGGTAAAGAAGCAGGGGCTTAGCGGTCGCACAACTGGTAAGTGAGGGAGCTGGGATCCTGCCCTCGGCCAGCGTCTCACCATTCACTCTGTCCTCCCGGCCCAGCCTCTAACCACTACACTGTACCAAGTCCTGAATTTTAACTCAGGGTGCTAATTCTATCCCAGGTGTGCCATTGCAACTTAAGGAGATAGGACTCATTGCTAGAATGTGGCCACGAGAGGATGCAGCTATTCAGACAAGACGTATCAGAGAGGTCGGGAATTGTGTGATTGGCCACAATAGACTTCGCTCCATGGAGTCCACAGGGGAATCTGATCGGTGGATGACCACATCCAGCAAGGAAAAGTGAAGCGAGAGGAGTGAAGGAGAGGAGGGAAACTGTAATTGTCTTGAAATATTTAAAGGAGGGGCACCTGGGTGGCTCAGTTGGTTAAGCATCCAGCTCTT